ATTTGGGGAGATTTGAGGGAATTTGGGGGGTCCTGAGGGATTTTGGGGGTGTTCCTGATGGGATCGTGAGGGATTTTGGGGGGACCTGAGGGGTCTTGAGGGGATCCTGAGGGGATCATGAGGGAATTTGGGGGGGTCCTGAGGGATTTTGGGGGTGTTCCTTATGGGATCGTGAGTGATTTTGGGGGGACCTGAGGGGTCGTGAGGGGTTCTGTGGGGATCCTGAGGGGATCATCAGGGAATTTGGGGAGATTTGAGGGAATTTGGGGGGTCCTGAGGGATTTTGGGGGTGTTCCTGATGGGATCGTGAGGGATTTTGGGGGGACTTGAGGGGTCTTGAGGGGTTTTGTGGGGATCCTGAGGGGATCATGAGGGAATTTGGGGAGATTTGAGGGAATTTGGGGGGTCCTGAGGGATTTTGGGGGTGTTCCTGATGGGATCGTGAGGGATTTTGGGGGGACCTGAGGAGATTTGGGTGTCATGGGGGGAAGTTCAGCATCCCAAGAGTGAAGCCTGGAACATCCCGTTAAATTTTAGGAGTCATTCAGAGGGTGTTTGAGGGTTTTTGGGGTTTCTTTGGGATTTTGGGGGTTCCCTGTGGGATTTTTTGGGTTTATTTTGATATTTTTGGGGTGCGTTTTGTGTTATTTCAGCGAGGAAGATTCGCGATTCCCCTACGAGCTTTCAGCACCAATTCCCCTCCTTTTAACCCCAAATTTTCTCCTCCAGCTCCCTTCCCCCTCCTCCAACCATGGGGGTCCCCGGGACGCTGCCGGCCTTGATTTTGGGGTTTTTGGGGGTTTTTTGGGGTGTCCCGGCGGGGGCTGGGGACTGCAAAGGGCAGCGCCGGGTGTTGAGGGGACCCCGCGGCTTCGTCACCGACGGCCCCGGAAACTACTCGGTCAACGGCAACTGCGAGTGGCTCATCGAGGGTGAGGAAGCCCAAAAACCCCCAAATCCACCCCAAAATCGGGTTCGGCGTCCCCGGAAACCCTAAAATCGCCCCCCCAAACCCCCCAGAGCTGCTCCGCCCTTCCCCTGAAGGGAGTGGAAAAAAAGGGGGAGCGGCCTCAAAAAAAAACCACCCCCAAAATCGGCTCCGAGACACCAAAAAAGTTGTGATTTCACCCCAAATTCGGGCCCAACACCCCCAAAACCCCCCCAAAACCCCCCAGGTTTTTTTTGGGGTTTTTTTGGGATTTTTTTGGGATTTTTTTGGGATTTTTTTGGGATTTTTTTGGGATTTTTTTGGGATTTTTTTGGGATTTTTTGGGGATTTTTTGGGGATTTTTTTGGGATTTTTTGGGATTTTTTTGGGATTTTTTGGGGGATTTTTTTGGGATTTTTTTGGGATTTTTTTGGGATTTTTTTGGGATTTTTTTTGGATTTTTTGGGGATTTTTTGGGGATTTTTTTTTGGATTTTTTTTGGATTTTTTTTGAATTTTTTGGGATTTTTTGGGGATTTTTTTGGGGTTTTTTTGGATTTTTTGGGATTTTTTGGGATTTTTTGGGATTTTTTTGGGATTTTTTTGGGATTTTTTTGGGATTTTTTTGGGATTTTTTTGGGATTTTTTTGGGATTTTTTGGGGATTTTTTGGGGATTTTTTTGGGATTTTTTGGGATTTTTTGGGATTTTTTGGGGATTTTTTTTGGATTTTTTTGGATTTTTTTGGGATTTTTTTGGGATTTTTTTGGGATTTTTTTGGGATTTTTTTGGGATTTTTTTGGGATTTTTTAGGATTTGTTTGGGATTTTTTGGGGATTTTTTTGGGATTTTTTGGGATTTTTTGGGGATTTTTTTGGGATTTTTTGGGATTTTTTGGGGATTTTTTTGGGATTTTTTGGGATTTTTTGGGGATTTTTTTGGGGATTTTTTTGGGATTTTTTTTTTGTTTTGTTTTATTTTTTAAAGCGATTTTTTTAGGGATTTTTGGTTATTTTTTAAAACAAGTTTTTTTGGTATTTGTATAGAATTATATATTTTTTTTAATTTTTAATCTTTTTTAATTTTTTAATTTTAAATTTTAAATTTTTAATTATTTAATTTTAAATTTAAATTAAATTTTAATTTTTTTAAAATTTGATTTTAATAGGATTTTTTTTTTTTTTTTTGTGGGGATGGGGGAAGATTTTGGGGTTTTTTTTGAGTTTTTAGGAATTTTCAACAAAGTTGAAATCCCTGGGTGGGATTTTTTGGGGATTTTTGGGAATTTTTGGGGCATTTGGATGGGGGATTTTTGGGGATTTTTTTGGGAATTTTTCGGGATTTTTGGGGATTTGGGTGGGGGGATTTTTGTGGATTTTTTTTTTATTTTTTGGGAATGTTTGGGGATTTGGGTGGGGGGATTTTTTGGGATTTTTTGGGGAATTTTTGGGATTTTTGGGGATTTGGATGGGGGGGATTTTTTGGGATTTTTGGGGAATTTTCGGGGATTTTTGGGGATTTGGATGGGGGGATTTTTGGGGATTTTTTTTTTGATTTTTTGGGATTTTTTGGGATTTGGATTGGGGATTTTTGGGGATTTGGCTGGGGGGATTTTTGGGAATTTGGATGGGAGGATTTTAGGGAATTTTTTGGGATTTTTGGGAATTTTTTGTGGATTTTTTGTGGATTTTTTTTGATTTTAGTGATCTGAGCCACAAATTTTTTTGATTTTCTTTATTTGATGACCAGATTTTTTCGGGGGGGAGCATATTTAATATATCTCCAGCTATTCAAACATCAGATTTTTTTTTGCAGATTTATTTCTTTTCTCACCCCAACCCCTCCCCGTTTCATTGTCAGCCCCCAGCCCGCGGCACCGCATCCTCCTGACCTTCACCTTCATGGACACGGAGTGCACCTACGATTACCTGTTCGTCTACGACGGCGGCTCCACCCGCAGCCCCCTGCTGGCCGCGCTCAGCGGCAGCGCCCTGCCCGCGCCCCTGGAGGCCACCTCGGGAAAGGTGGGGACAAACGGGAACTCCTGGGAAACTGGGGGAATTTTGGGGGATTTTTGGAGATTTTTTTAGGATTTTTTTGGGGTTTTTTTGGGATTTTTTTGGGATTTTTTGGGATTTTTTTAGGATTTTTTGGGGGATTTTTTTAGATTTTTTTAGGATTTTTTTAGTATTTTTGAGGTTTTTTTTAGGTTTTTTAGGGATTTTTTTAGGATTTTTTTAGGATTTTTTTAGGATTTTTTTGGGATTTTTTGAGATTTTTTTAGGGATTTTTTAGGATTTTTTAGGGATTTTTTTAGGATTTTTTTTGGATTTTTTGAGATTTTTTTGGGTTTTTTTAGGATTTTTTTGGGATTTTTTGAGATTTTTTTTGGGTTTTTTTAGGATTTTTTTGGGGATTTTTTGAGATTTTTTTAGGATTTTTTTAGGATTTTTTTGGGATTTTTTTAGGGTTTTTTTAGGATTTTTTGGGGATTTTTTGAGATTTTTGTAGGGTTTTTTTAGGATTTTTTTGGGATTTTTTGAGATTTTTTTAGGGATTTTTTAGGATTTTTGCCCTCAGCGGCAGCGCCCTGCCCGCGCCCCTGGAGGCCACCTCGGGAAAGGTGGGGACAAACGGGAACTCCTGGGAAACTGGGGGATTTTTTTGGGGATTTTTTGGGGATTTTTTGAGATTTTTTTAGGATTTTTTTGGGCATTTTTTGGGATTTTTTGGGGATTTTTTGAGATTTTTTTAGGATTTTTTTAGGATTTTTTTGGGATTTTTTGAGATTTTTTTAGGTTTTTTTTAGGATTTTTAAGAGATTTTTTTAGGATTTTTTTAGGATTTTTTTAGGATTTTTAAGAGATTTTTTTAGGATTTTTTTAGGATTTTTTTGGGGATTTTTTTAGATTTTTTTAGGATTTTTTTAGGATTTTTTTGGGATTTTTTTAGATTTTTTTAGGATTTTTTTAGGATTTTTTTGGGATTTTTTGAGATTTTTTTAGGATTTTTTTAGAATTTTTTTGGGATTTTTTAGGGATTTTTTTAGGATTTTTTTGGGATTTTTTGAGATTTTTTTAGGTTTTTTTTAGGATTTTTAAGAGATTTTTTTAGGATTTTTTTAGGTTTTTTTTAGGTTTTTTAGGGATTTTTTTTGGATTTTTTTAGGATTTTTTTGGGATTTTTTTAGATTTTTTTAGGATTTTTTTAGGATTTTTTTGGGATTTTTTTAGGATTTTTTTGGGATTTTTTAGGGATTTTTCTGGGGATTTTTTGAGATTTTTTTAGGATTTTTTTAGGATTTTTTTGAAATTTTTTTAGGATTTTTTTGGGATTTTTTGAGATTTTTTTAGGGATTTTTTAGGATTTTTGCCCTCAGCGGCAGCGCCCTGCCCGCGCCCCTGGAGGCCACCTCGGGAAAGGTGGGGACAAACGGGAACTCCGGGGAAATTGAGGGGGAGTTGGGGGGATTTTTGGAGATTTTTTTAGGATTTTTTTTAGGATTTTTTTGGGATTTTTTTGGGTTTTTTTGGGGTTTTTTTGGGATTTTTTTGGTATTTTTTTAGGATTTTTTTAGGATTTTTTTTAGGATATTTTGAGATTTTTTTAGGGTTTTTTTGTGATTTTTTAGGGATTTTTTTGAG